ATTGCTTCTGCGGCTCTGGTGCGGGCAGCTTGCAGAATCTCGGCGAATTGCTGTGCACGTGGCGTTGGGTTGTCTGGACTCGGCGTCATGGGCACTGTTGGGTTTTGCCCGTAGTTCAGGTAAAACGGGGACTGCTGCGTCGTCGGTGACGTGGCGTTGTTGTACGCGAACTCGATCAGCGGCAGCTGCTGCTCCTGTTATAATATATTTATATATCCTTTATAACTGTCTGTAGTGTAGACTGTAGTGTATCTCACTTGCTGTAGGTGGTGTACCATGTGGCTTTCTCTTTCCTATATCTTGTACCTTGCTCAATAGTGAAACCACTTCTTCCTTCTCGATTTTCCTTGCTTCAACTCCGTCGACACTCAACCCTTGCATGGCTCCTATACCTCCTAAGCCTAAACCTAGTTTCCTAGGTGCTTCGTATTCTGACATGTTATCAGAGTGAGGTTTTACCTAGGACCTACTTTCATTTAGCCCACCATTTGCTTCTGTCAATGCACCACCCTGCTGCCCGTCGTGCGCCCCGGGCGTCGATTTTCTGCCCGTCGCGCGCCCCGGGCGCCCGTCGGGCGCACGACGGTTTCCTGCTCGTCGTGCGACCTGCTGTTGCCCACGCAGCCCCTACACCGCCCCCCAGCCCCCCCCTTCTCCATCCCCCTGCTGATCGTGCAGCAGAGGGGGAGGGTATGGGGGTGGCGGGGGGGGGGCATGACGGTTTCCTGCCCGTCGCGCGCCCTGCTGTCGCCCGAGCAGCTTCTACACCGCCCCCCCCTTTCTCCTCCATCCCCCTGCTGATCGTGCAGCAGGGGGGGGAGGGTATGGGGGTGGCGGGGGTGGCGAACGACGGTTTCCTGCCCGTTGCTCGCCCTGCTGTCGCCCGCGCAGCTCCTACACCCCTCCCCCCCTTCTTCTCCATTCCCCTGCTGTGCGTGCAGCAGTGGGGGGGAGGGTATGGGGGTGGCGGGTGTGGCGCACGACGGGTTCCTGCCCGTCGCGCGCCCTGCTGTTGCCCGAGCAGCTTCTACACCGCCCCCCTGCCCCCCTTTCTTCTCCATCCCCCTGCTGCGCGTGCAGCAGTGGGGGGGGAGGGTATGGGGGTGGTGGGTGTGAGTAGTCAGCCGCCCACCACCTCCTCCTCTCTCTCCCTGCCGCACTTGTCGCTGTGTCGGGAGAAGGGGGGGAGCTTGGAGGTTAAGGGGGTGGCAGGAAGGGATCTGCAGCACCAGCCCCCCCGCCCCCCCTTCTCCTCCATCCCCCTGATGCGGGTGCAGCAGTGGGGGGGAGGGGATCTGCAGCACCAGCCCCCCCGCCCCCCCTTCTCCTCCATCCCCCTGCTGCGGGTGCAGCAGTGGGGGGGAGGGTATGGGGGTGGCGGGTGTGAGTGAACTGCTGCCGCCTCTCCTCCTCTCTCTCCCACTGCTGCACATGCCGCTGTGGGGGGGGGGGGGGAGGGTGTGGGGGAGATGAGGGAGTGGCGGTAGGGGTGCTGAGGGGTGTGAAAGGGTTGGGAAAATGGGGTAAGTTGAAGGGGGGTGTACACCGTGAAGCCAGCAGCTCCAGTCGCCCGTGAGACCGTTGCGCCAATTGCCCATGAGCCCGTTGCTCCTGTAGCCCGTGAGTCAGTTGCTCCAGCCGCTCGCTTAGCCGTGGAGCCAGTTACTCCAGTTGCCCGTGTGCCAGTTGCTCCATTTGCCAGTGTGCCAGTTGCTCCAGTTGCCCGTGTGCCAGCAGCTTCAGCCGCCACCCACCACCTCCTCTCCTCTCATGGTCCCTCCTCCTCTTCACTTGCCCTCTCCTTCCTCCGCTGCTCCTGGTGTACCCCTTCAGGGGGTGTTGTGCACAAGGTTCTTCACTAAAGGCAGTTAGGGGGTGTGTTAGAATATATTTATATATCCTTTACAACTGTCTGTAGTGTAGACTGTAGTGTATCTCACTTGCTGTAGGTGGTGTACCATGTGGCTTTCTCTTTCCTATGTCTTGTACCTTGCTCAATAGTGAAACTACTTCTTCCTTCTCGATTTTCCTTGCTTCAACTCCCTCGACACTCAACCCTAGCATGGCTCCTATGCCTCCTAAGCCTAAACCTAGTTTCCTAGGTGCTTAGGATTCTGACAGCTCCCATGTTGTCGGGTCGTCACACGTGGCACGAATCAACTGCTCCATCTGTCAGAATGTTTATATTTGTCTAGCCTGCAGTGGGGTACTCAATAGTGAGTACAGCCCAATCTAGGGTTTGCTATATGTACTCAACTGCTTGCTAGTGAAACCCCTCTTCTCTGTTTCATTCATTCCTTCTGTTGATTCTAACATGGAATCAAAGCAGGTCGACCCTCCGGGGTCGATCCTGTACATGGGCCCACCAATGCTTCCGCTGTCATCACTGCCTATCGCGCGCCTCGGGCGCGCGCTATCTTTCTGCCTGCCGCGCGCCCATGGCGTGCGGCCATTTTTCTTCCCGCCGCGCGCTTGGGGCGCACGGCGGTTTTCTGCCCGTCGCGCCGCCCTGGGGGCAGCGCGACGCCCTGATCTGCCCGTCGTGCGCCCCGTGGCGCGCGACGATGCCCTGCCCGTCGCGCGCCCCGGGGCGCACGGCGGTTTCGTCGCCCCGAGGGGCTCGTGCGCGGCCCTCCCGTCGCCCGTCGTGGCGCCATCGGGGGCCCGCGCGGCCCCCCCTTCCGTCGCCCGACGTGGCGCCCTTGGGGGCCCGCGCGTGACCCCTCTCCCGTCGCCCGTCGAGGCGCCTTCGGGGGCCCGCGCGCGGCCCCCTCCTGACGCCCGCCGTGGCGCCCTCGGGGGCCCGTGCGGCCCCCATCCCAGTCGCCCGACGTGGCGCCATTGGGGGCCAGCGCGCGCCCCCCTCCCCCTCCTGACGCCTGTTGTGGCGCCCTTGGGGGCACGCGCTGCCCCTTCTGCAGCCCGCGCTGCCCCTTCTGCAGCCTGCGCTGCCCCTTCTGCAGCCCGCGTGCCGCCTCCTGTCCCCTCCTCCTCCTCCTCCGTCTCCCACTGCTGCAGCTACCGCTGAGGGGGGTGGGTGTGTGGGAGACGACGGATTGATACTATGGGGGTGTGTCATGGGAGTGAAACTAGGGGTGCAGCGGGGGGTGTGTGAAAGGGGGTGTGAGACAGTTAGAGGGAGGTTGGGTGGAGGTAGCCATCGTGTTGTCAGCAGCGCCAGTAGTCCGGAGGTGCGCCTCCGGTAGCCCAGCGAGCCTGCTGCGCCAGTCGCCCGTGGGTCCGTTGCTCCTGCCGCTCGTCTTAGCCGCGGAGCCAGTTACTCCTGTAGTCCGGAGGTGCGCCTCCGGTAGCCACAGTGTGCGCCGCTCCTGTTGCCCGTGTGTCTGCAGCTTCAGCCGTTGCCTCCTATCTCCTTTCCTATCAGTCCAGCCTCCTCCTCCTCACTTGCCCTCTGTGATAGCCTCTAGCTTTGCTTATTACTGTGAACTATAAACTTTTGCTTCTTTTACTTGTGCTCAGAATGTGTGGTGACTTTGTGATCCACCCTGAGCTTGTCTTTGCTTTGCTTGTTGTGCTGATTACACCCCACTTTGGCTATGGGGGTGTGTCAGAATGTTTATATTTGTCTAGCCTGCAGTGGGGTACTCAATAGTGAGTACAGCCCAATCTAGGGTTTGCTATATGTACTCAACTGCTTGCTAGTGAAACCCCTCTTCTCTGTTTCATTCATTCCTTCTGTTGATTCTAACACCATCGTCTGATTCGTCCGCTCCATTTGACCGTCGGTCTCGGGGTGGTACGACGAGCTGAACTGTAGCCTGGTCCCGAACTGCTCCCAGAGGTTCTTCCAGAAGTTGTTGGTAAACTTCGTGTCGCGGTCACTGATGATTGCAGCTGGTATCCCATGTAGTCGAACGACAGTTGCGATGAACGGGCGAGCGGTTTCTTCGGCTGAGATCGATTTCCTGCACGCAGCGAAGTGAACCATTTTCGCCAGTCTGTCAATGACGACCGTTACCGCGTCGTAACCCCCAGGGTTCGAAGGTAACCCCGTGACGATATCCATGGTCACCTGCTGCCAGGCGCGCTCGGGCGGTGGAATCGGCTGCAACTGACCCGCCTTTCTTTTTCGCGAGCTCTTCATCAGCTGACACGTAGGACACGAGCCCATGTGGTGCAGTACGCCGGTCAACAGCTATGGCCAGTGTAATACCGCTGCGGTTGCTGTCGCGTTTTTTCTACCCCGAAGTGACCCGAGGTAACACCGTCGTGTGCATCCTGCAGTAGCAGTTTCCTCAGTAGTGAGTACGCGGGTACCCAAATGCGGTTGGTGCCTGTCTTAACGTAATAGACTCCATTAGCTTCTGCCAGTTGCTGTGAATTTCCGGTCGTGAAAAATGGGTCGGTGCGATATCCGTGGGTGAATAGGCCTGTTAACAGTCGACCCCTAGGCCCCAGCCCCACGTCGACCCCTACGCCCAGCCCGCCCGTCGACCCCTATGCCCCGGCCCCCCGTCGACCCCTACGGCCGGCGCGACCCGTCGACCCCTAGGCCCCGGCCGCACGTCGACCCCTAGGCCCCGGCCCCACGTCGACCCCTACGTCCGGACTCTCCGCAGCAGAATGGGTTTGCTGAGCGTTGCATTGGCATAGTCATGGAGGTCGCTCGTACCTCCATGATCCATGCGGCTGCCCCCCATTTTCTGTGGCCGTTTGCGGTCCGGTACGTTGCGCATCAGCTCAACCTCTGGCCCCGTGTCTCCTTGCCGGAGACTTCGCCCACACTGCGTTGGACGCGATGCGTCAGTGTTCCGGGTCTGGGGCTCTCGTGCCTTTGTTCGCGATACGTCCGCGGACAAGCTCTTCGCCTGTGCTATCCCCTGCGTCTTCCTTGGCTTTCCCCCTGACGCGCCTGGCTAGCAGTTTTACCACCCCACCTCGCACCGTGTCTTCCCTTCTCATGACATCACGTTTGACGAATCGGTTCCCTTTTACCGTCTCTTTCCCCTACCGCTCTACCCCTCCCCCGCCTCCGCCGCTCTTCCTTGCTCCCGGTCCCCCTCTGGTAGACCCCCTCCCCCCCCAGGGTCATGCTCCCTCAAGTGTGTCTCAGGTAGACCCTCTCCCTGGTACTGTGCCTGTTGAGGTAGCTGGCGACTCAGGTGTTGCTCGAGGTGCTACGTCTGGGGTTGTTGCGTCTGGGGGTGCGGAGCCTGGGGACGCTGAGTCTGAGGGTGCCGGGTCTGGGGGTGCTGAGCCTGGGGGTGCTGAGCCTGGGGGTGCTGAGACTGCGGGTGTGGAGCCTGGGGGTGCTGAGTCTATGGGTGCGGAGTCTGGGGGTGCTGGGCCTCGGGGTACGGCTTCTACTAGAGGTCCTGCGGGTGCTTCGCCACGACTGTCTCCCCGGCCAGAGCCTCTCTCCCTGCAGCAGCTGCGCGAGTGGTTTGCTCAGCGCACCCGCCTTCGGAGTGGAGTTGTCGGAGCTGGAGACCTTGCGGCTGGAGACACTGGAGCTGGAGGTGCTAGAGTTACTACTGGAGCTGGTGGTATTGGAGGTGCTGCGGCTGCTGGTTCTGGAGGTGCTCGTACCAAGGGTACTGGAGCTGTCGAGACTAATGTTGTTGAGGGCGCTGGAGCTGGAGACCCTACGGAGCCTGGAGCTGCAGAGTTTGGAGGCGCTGGAGCTGGAGGCTCTGGTGCTGGAGGAGGTGGAGCTGTTGGCGCTGGAGCTGGAGGCACCGGCGCGGGAGGCGCTGGAGCTGGAGGAGCTGGAGCAGTTGACCCTCGAGCTGGAGGTGCTGGAGCTGGGGGTGCTGTGTCTGGTGGTACTGGTGCTGGAGGCACTGTGCGGCCGCGACCGTACTTCGTTCCCCTGCTTCAGCAGGTTCTTGGTGTCCCCTCTTCTACTGCCCTTACTCCTCCCCTCCTGTGTCCACCGCCTGACCAATCGCGGCTGCCGTTGCAGCCGACCTCTCCACTGCCTGCTCCCTCTCCTTACACTGAGTAGTCCGGTGGCCTTACAGAGCGTCGTGAGCCTGCGTCTCGTCCGGCCTCCCCTGTTCGCGCTGGTCGTCGCGTTCCTCGTCCGTGTCCTCCTCCTGTCCCCGGCACACACGCTATGGCACTTCGTCCTTCCTCTGTTCCACTGCGTGTTCCTCTGCCTGCTCCTCCTGAGTCCTCTCTTCCTGCCGTCCCTGACCTTGAGTTTGACCGCGCTCGTGCTGCCAGTCCCACTGTCTCTCGTCTCCTCGCCACTGTTGTCCCTGACCCTGCTTTTGAGTCCACTGCTGCGTCTGCCCTCGTTGCTGAGCTGCTTGACTTTGTTGCTACCTGTCGTCTCGACTACGCCACTGCTCTTGTTGCTGAGTCTGAGTCTGCCAGTCCTCCGTCCGTCGGGGGTAAGTGTGCTCTTGGCACGGACGTCCTTGAGGAAAGGCAGGAGGACTTTGAGTGTCTTGCAGCTGCGGTACCTCGTTTCACTTCCATGCTGCTTGCCCCTGAGGGAGACCCGGATGCACCAGACATCCCGACCCCGCGCTCTTACGCAGAGGTGATTACGGGTCCTTACTCCTCTCAGTGGAAGACAGCCATGGATGCCGAGATGGCATCTTGGAAGTCCACAGGCACCTACGTCGACGCAGTTCCCCCATCTCGGGCGAACATAGTTGATGGCATGTGGATTTTCAGGGTGAAGCGGCCGCCGGGTTCTCCGCCTGCCTTCAAGGCTCATTACGTTGCTCGAGGCTTCAGTCAGCGACAGCGGGTCGACTACTTCCAGACCTTCTCCCCCAACCCGAAGATGACTACTCTTCGGGTGTTGCTGCACGTCCCTGCTCAGCGTGACTACGAGTTACACTCTCTTGACTTTAGTACAGCTTTCTTGCAGGGCAGCCAGCACGAGGAGATCTGGCTGCGCCGCCCACCTGGCTTCACTGGGTCGTTTCCTACAGGTACCCAGTGGAGCCTCCGCCGGCCAGTCTACGGTCTCCGCCAGGCGCCTCGCGAGTGGCACGACAGACTGAGGACTACACTTGCGGCTCTGGGGTTTACTCCTTCTACTGCTGACCAGTCGCTGTTTCTACGCACCGACACGTCACTCCCGCCGTTCTACGTCCTAGTCTACGTCGACGACCTCGTCTTTGCCATTGCTGACACTGAGGCACTGACCCTTGTGAAGTCCGAGCTGCAGAAGAGACACACTTGCACTGACTTGGGTGAACTGCGCAGCTATCTTGGCTTGTAGATCATCCGGGACAGAGCACGGCGCACCGTCACACATGGTGCATCAGGTCCTTCACCGCTTCGGCTTAAAGTTCTCCTCGCCACAGCCCACTCCTCTGTCTACCAGCCACTCGCTCTCAGCTCCACCTTCGGACGAGTCCGTAGAGCTGAGTGGTCCGTACCCAAAGCTTGTGGGTTGCCTCATGTACCTGATGACGTGCAGATGACCTGACCTCAGTTTCCCTCTCAGCCTCCTGGCTCGCTACCTTGCTCCCGGTAGTCACCGAAAGGTGCACTGGGATACTGCAAAGAGAGTACCGCGTTACTTGTGCAGTACGTCGGGCATGGGGCTCGTGGTTGGAGGATGGGGTCCAGTTGTCCTCACTGGTCACGCAGACGCTTCTTGGGTTGACGACTCAGCTACGCAGCGATCGACACAGGGTTACAATTTCAGCCCTGGCTCCGGCTTTGTTTCCTCGCGATCTATCCGCTCGTCTTCGGTTCTCAGCTCCAGTTGTGAGGCTGAGATCTACGCTGGGGCCGTGGCTGCACAGGAGCTGCGCTGACTCACCTACTTGCTGACTGACTCGGGAGAGCAGCCTCGTTTGCCTCCAGTTCTGTACGTAGATAACAAGGCCATGATTGCCTTGTGTCGGGAGCACAGACTGGAGCACAGAACGAAGCACATCGCTCTGCGATACTTCCTTGCTCGAGAGTTGCAGCAGCGTGGCCAGCTTCGTCTTGCGTACGTGGCCACTAGGGCCAACACTGCTGATATATTCACCAAGGCACTTCCGCCTGGTGATCATCAGCGCTTCTCTACTGTGTTAGGCCTTGTGCCTACTT